GACCCAAATAATAGGGTTTTTGGGTCTAAATACCACTGATAGTTTCGTATTTGGGCCCTTAAACCCTATTATTTGGGTCCTTGGACCCTTAGGGACAGCCTTTGTAACCCCAATCTTTGAGGCACACGGCATACGGCCCAGACCGTCGGCGTTAGGAGACCATCAGGTGCGGCCAGAGCTGCGAGTGCCACGCCTTATCCCGAGTCGTGAGTTGCCATCACAGATAAGGTCCGGATGGCATTGCCAAGCCTTTAGAATAATCTGAACAAGTGGGCCCTGTTCAGGAAGTTTGAAGCTGCCGGACACAAACATTTCTAAATATCTTCTGGGTTACACACTATCTGCAATAACGAGCCGGTTCCTGGTTGCGTATGTTTAAGGAACTTAGGCTGTTACAAGGAAACAGTTTGGGCCCTGTCCAGGACATAGGATTTAAGGCGAAGCGCTCCGGGGTATGATATACCGGCGGTTTAGGAGGGTTACGGTTATAGTTCTAGAGGTTAAGATTTGTAATTGTTCAAGGTTTCTACAGCCCTAAACTCTAAACCCTTAATCCGAACCCTCAAATCCCTTCTAGGCGCTGACTCTTGAGGTTTCTTACCACTGCCTTCTAGCATGCCCCCCTAGGCTCTAAACACTAAACCCTAAGCCCTCATTTTTAAGCTAAGCTATCCATAAATAGTCTAATTCAAGTGGAACCTGGGGCGGAGATTAGCATGCCTGGGGATGGAGTAAGGCAACCCTAAACCCTAAAGGGTAGGGTTTAGGGTTTAGGGTTTAAGTTTTAGGGCTAAAGCCGCTACCCGGAGGTCCAGAACCCATAGCCCAAGCAATTCACTTGAGGCTTTCGTGGTGACTGAACTGAAGATGATTTTTGTCCTGAAATTCGGACAATACAATACCCAACTCACTTGAAGGTGCAAGGATGCTGACCAATGGGCTTATAAGCCCTGAACCCTAAAGCCTCTGAGTCCGCTACATTCCTTTTGTCCCAGACCCTAAGAGTCCTTGACCCGGAGCCCGTTTCCCCAATCCCGTACCCCCCCCCCATTTGACATCCTAGGTACTTGGGCTTTCGAGGTTCTTCGGTTTGATCTATGAGCCCCTAGTATGGGATCCTTACCAGGACCTTCCTTGTACCCTTAATTGGGGATATATGGTCCCTAATAGTGGGTACTTAGGCCCTAATAGAGGGTAGGAGGAGGGTCTAGGTATATACCTACTTTGTATGCTATGAGCCGCGAGAAACCGAATGAATGGCCCATGGTTAGGACCTTAGATAGCAGGAATTCAGGCGCGCGGCGGGTTTCCAGCCAAACTTCTGCACGGTACGAGTCTCCATGCTACTCATGGCAGGATGCTTCTCGACCTGCGATCTCCGGCCAGGGTTAAGATGCTTGAAATTGGGCTTTAGGATTCAGGGCTTGGGTTCTACGGTGTAAGTGCCGGCGTGTGGGGCTTAGGTTTCAAGGGTTTCAGTTTGAGAGTTCAGGTCAGCAACTGTCATGCGTGGGGTTTGCCTCCAAATCATGAGTTTCCAGGTCCCCAGGTGTCTCTTTAACAAAAGGTTTATGTTTTTGGGCAAGCTTTAGGGATTTTGCACGTGGGGAGGTACAACATGGATGGCTTTACGTAAGGCCTAAATGTGGAGAGACTTGGAGGCAAATAACCCTAAACCCTAAACCCGGCTTGTCAAAAGAAAGCAACTCCGTGGGAGGGTCCAGGTGATTGACCTTTAAATCCCCCCTAAAGTTTAGGGTTAAGGGTGTAGAGTTTAGGGCCTAGGGAACCCCAAAACAATCCTACAAACACTCCTAGCCCGTGTCAGAGGGCAAATTACAATTTTTCACATTCCCGAATTAAAGTGCATTCTTGAATTTTCTCACTTGGTTTATGCCTACCAGTAACTGCACTTACCATGGGGGTGACACCTATAAACTCCTTGAGCATGTTGCGGGAGTCTTGGAAAGCCTTATGTAAGGGCCACGCCATCAAGGAACCCTTACATCCTAAACCGAGCACGCGGAGCTTTCGATACCTTTTCTACAACTTGGAGGCTGGAGGGTTCTGTAGTTTCCTTAGACCTATAATAAAAATACGATTTTTAACATTTCCTTAGGGTTATACTATAAAAGAATTACAAATAAGTCCTAAGGACTGTACAGGGTTTATGGTTTAAGGTTTAGGGCTTGGAAAAATCCGAGCCCCGGAAATCAGGGCCAATGCTGTACTTATCATAGTGGTCAGGGCTATCGAAAGCCCCTTGTTACAACCTAAGCCCAACTCCCTAAACCCCTAAGCCCTTAACCCTAATCCCTGAACCCGTAACTCAAATCCGTAAGCCCTCAACCCAAATCCCTAAACCCAAATCCCGATACCCTAAACCCAAAAACTCAAAACCCAGAACCCTAAACCCAAACCCTTGAACTCTAAATTCAAACCCGCAAGCCCTAAACCCTAATCCCTAAAACCAGAGTGGAACTAAACCCTAAACCCGAACCCTCAAGCTCAAAATAGCCCCAAGGCCTGATATTGTACGGTCTTTGGGCCTAAAAGCCCTATATTCTGAGTCCTTAGAGCCTTAGGGTAAGCCCTGAACCCCTTGGCCGCCTTCACCTCCGTACCCGTAGAAACCGGCGTGCTCTCGCAGACTCCCATGGTCCTCACTGGTAGGGTCAGGGGGACCTAGCAAGTAGGTTAATAGCCCCTATAAGCCACACAGTAACCCAAGGTATCCCCATTAACCTGCTTACTAAGTCCCCCTGACCCTCCGAGCAGTGCACCTTCAGAGGGGATTTAGGGTTTGGGATTGTTCCTTCCTTCCATTCTACCGTGGGCTCTAGTATCATATGAGACATACTGTTCCCTAAAATGCAGGTGTGCTGAACTCTCCTGGGCAGGTCTACTAAAAGTTGTGAACACTATGGTAATAGGAACCTGGATGATGAAAGCGGAGATTAGGATATGGGGAGATGAGGAATCTGCTTATATATATATATATAGTAGCCTAGATGGTCAAAGGGGCCAAGGCCTGGTGGTATTGGAATCCCAAAACCATTCTTGCATAGTAAGTGAGGCCTGCTGTGGCTTCAGAAGCCCAGAATACAAAAGAATCCTTATGCCGGGTTATGGTGTCTCAGTGCGGCGTTCCCACTGGTAGACCCTAAGCCCGAAACCCCTTGCCTGTGCTTAAGAGGGAATGGACCTCCTGAGGCCTGGTCTCAGGTAAGCAGAATGACTGCATATTCATAAGCTAATGCGCATTAGCAAAGTTTAGGGTCTAGGGTTGGATTTAGGGTTCAGGGTTTAACGTGGGTAGATTACCAGGAAAGCCCCAAATGGGAGAAGTCTCGCAAAAAGGAACCCTTCAACAGGCATTGCATAACGGAAGCCTGGGGGTTCTTATTGGGGTCTGGCCGAAAACCTGAACTTTAAACCCTGAAGCTAGTTTAGGAATTCGGGTTTTGGGTAAGTTTAGGGCCTAAACGGACTGGGATCTACCTGGTAACGCATGCCTCCCAAACGCGCCGCAAAATGGAGCTTAAGTTGGAACCATCCCTGGGTGCCTTTCGTTATGAACTTTGGCTGTATTGGGGTTTTGGGTCTGGGCGGGGGAGACTAGGCGGGGGGAACAACAATAGGGGAGGGACTATGAGGAATAACATGTTTACAGGTCCCTCTTGGGGATCCTGTTGGTATTCTTTGGAGAAAGCTCCATTGTTCATAACTTAGGTGGACCCCCGACCCAGTAATAGTGACTATTATGGATACTTGGTTGGCCTCCGGAACCCTTTGAAACATATTAGTACATAGGGTTCTTATGAAACCAATTAGGGAAAACATTTAAGTATCCCAAAGGCCAACCCAGGATAATAAGGATTATATTAGGGTCCTCTTATATTACTATGATACCACTATTACAGGGTGGGGGGGGGTCCTCCTAATTCATAACCCTCAACCCTAAACCCGAAGCATCTAAGGCTGTCCAACTTGACGCACAGCCTTCTGACCCAAAGCAAGCAAACATTGGTTTAGTTAAATCGTCTCTGACACACCAAATCACTCTGAGTGAGGGCGATCCCTGTACTTTCCATTTTCTTTTCCATTATCCCTATGTACTCCTAATATAACCTTAATATTACCCCCCCATAAACCCAATAACCCCTAAACCCTAAACCTTAAACCCTAAACCCTAAACCCCCAAAATAATATTACCCCCATAAACCCAATAACCCCTATAATCCCTATAATCCCTGTAGTACCCTGCACGCGAAACCGAGGATCCCTGCGGCAAACGGAGCTTTTATTCGGGAGATTCAGGGTTTCGGATTTAGGGCTTATAGGGTTTAGGGCTTAGGGTTTAGGGCTTAGAGTTTAGGATTTAGGGTTTAGGGCTTAGAGTTCAGGATTTAGGGTGTAAGTTTTTGGCTTTATGTTTCGGATAACGCATCCCTGACTTTCAGAAGCCCCGACAACCCACCGCCCAGGCCTATCAGAAGTCGGTCGACTCGGGAAAATTCGGAGTGGGGGAGCTAATGGGCCGACTGCGACGGGCGTTGCAATTCGGGACCTTGTGGTTTAGGGTTCAGAGGGCTTAGGGTTTAGGGTTAGGTTAGGGTTTAGGATTTAGGGTTTAGGGTATGGAGGTGAGGAGTACATAGGCGCAGGGAGCATACATGGGAATTCTACTTAACGCAAGAACTAGCTGGAAACCCTGGTAATCATGGAGATTCCATAGACAAACCTAAACCCCAAACTCTGATCCCGAGAACCATAAGCCCCAAAACCAAGCCCCGCACTTTAAACTGCCCTCCTAGACCCTCCTCCTACCCTCTACTAGGGCCTAAGTACCTACTATTAGGGACAATATATCCCCAATTAAGGGTACAAGGAGGGTCCTGGCTAACACCCGCACTCGCCATGATCCTTACCCTCCTATCATGCCAACCAATATACCGGGAAATCATACATGAAATATGAGGGGTTTTGTGCGGGGATTTAGGGCTTTAGCTTTCCGGACTGTAGGGTTTACGACTTAGGGGTTCAGGGTTGCGGGGGGGTTCAAGCTTAAACCCTAATTCCTGAACCCTAAACCTTAAATTCCTGAACCCTAAACCTGAAGCCTCAGGTGTCTAGACCTTTTAGGGTCTTCGGGTCTCCACCCCGGGGTTTCGGATTTTTTGGTGATTCCAGGGCTTGACCTTTTTGTGTTCCAAGGTTTTAGGGTTTAAGCATTGCTAGAGGGCATGGCAAACCTTGTGAAGACCCTTACTGCAGGCGTATATTATTGCTATGATTACCATCAGTACTATTATTACTATTTTTACCATTACTACTAGTATTAACATTATTACTAGAGTGACAGACTATCATTGGGGTAATACTGTTGATGCTGAGGCTTTGCATGGCCTTAGTATATTATAGTGCCAAAATTTCCAAGGTGTACGGTACTTAGGCTCATGCAGGATCTTTATCGTTCACCCCAAACCCGAAACCCTGTATGACCCTAACCCTAAACCCTATATGACAGTATATAATCTCTATAATTATGCCCTTGAAGGTACTTAGGCTCATGCAGAATATTTAGTATGCACGGTATTAAGTGTCCTTCTATACAGCTGGGTGGGAGGCAGTATCCAAGCTTTGGGACTCGAGCTCTAGGGTTAGCTCATTGCCGAACTTTTAGCTCTAGGATTTGGGGTTAGGTTTAGGGTTTAAGGGTTTAGGGTTCAAGGTTTAGGATCTTTCCAGGCTTAGTATTTAGGGCTAATCAGCCACAGGATTTTGGGGTGAAGGTTGGGGGCTTATAAAGGTTTAGGGTTTCGGGCTTCTAGGGTTTAGGGTTAAGGGGCAAGTGTTGGGGTTTATTACCATATCCGGACTTATGACGACCTCCCTTCCCCACGGAAACAACCAAAAAAGTGCAACTGTCACAGCAACCAGTGTGAGCCCAAGAAGGCGTTGTCGCAAAAAACGAATGGGATACCGTTAGAGGCATGCGGGGTACAGGGAATTCAACGAGACTACTGGCTATTTCGGTGGCCAGGCCTCCAATTAGATAAAGACATATAAAGACCAAATGAGTATGCAGGCTCAACAATTCGAAAGTTGTCCCTTTGGGTGTAAGACTGGGTTGGCCCCGTTTCAACGATATCAATATATAGGGTCCCCTATTAAAGCCATTAGGGAAAATACTAAATATCCCAGGGGCCTACCCAGAAGACTGCGGCCCTAAACCCTAAACCCCTAAATCCTAAACCCCTAAACGCTAAACCCCTACACCCTAAACCCTAAACCCTGACTACAGGAAATTCGGTCATACAAACAGCAACTTGAAGCTCCACACGCAGG